CGCCCCAGCAGGGGTCGGCGGATTCTCCCAGTGATTTAGAAATGAGAATAAAAACGCGTCGTAAGTAGTAGAGTATCAGAGAAAAAGCATTAAACTAAATTGTGTTCGTGACTCACAACTTTATGTGATAGGTTGACAAAGCTAGCCGTAACTAGCCTTTGCTGTTATAACAAGTGTTCAAGCCTACCCGGCGCTCTCACGGGTTGTAAGAGTCAACAGTATTTTTCTCCAAAGTGTGAAAATCTGTAGAAACACAGCCAATCGTTGAGAAATTGTCGGCGATTCTTATTACGATGCAAAGAGACTACTGTTAAAACTCTACGAAGCAGCAAGCAAACTCTATAGTATCTTTCTTGTATTGTTATTTAACAAGGAGTGATCTAGACGAGGATTTCAGGAAAAATGTCGCACAGCGTATACATGTTACTGACTGCGATATTTAACATCAATGGTATTGAGCAACAATATCGAGTGGCCATGAGCAAGCTAGGACTGCAACTACTGGAATGCAAATCGCTCAATCTGAACCACTGGCCTGTATTCTGTTTCTTCAATGCTTTTGTTTTCATCTTCTTGCTGTAATTAACTTGCTGACCAGATTTTCATCACTTCAAGGGTATATCGCTTTCCGAAATGTCGTTGCATCGTTGCTTTGCTTAAATCAATCTACACAGGTAGTAAACTCTGAATGAAACTCGCTCATATATACAGTATACGTACATTTTGTTCACTGTATCCTCTACGTTTCTGTTTTGATTTGGATATGCTCCGTTCAAAGACGTGAATTCTCGCAATCATTGGTATTCACTTTATGGTTTTTCTCCAGCGTAAAGTCGGCTGTTTCAATTAAATAAGGCGATGCATGTTCGTGATCCTACAATATACGCACATTTGTTGTTCTTGCAAAACCATAATCAGCACCTGTTGTTGTGGCGTCCAGTCCTGATGCTTCACTTTTGCTGAATCTAACAAATCCGTCGTTGCCTAGGTTAGTATTGACCGCTCGCTGTTGTCCTGAAGCATTAGTGTTAGGTATTTCCCTACTAAATTTATGTTTCCAGTTGTCAACTTCTCGTATTTCACTGCCATTTACCCCAACTAGTGACATTTGCCTCACACGATATTTCCCATAGAAATGAATGTTAACTTGTTCGTGACTGGTCTATTTAATGCAATACCCCCAGTGTCACTTAGTTGAAGTGCAATGGTTGAAGTAGTGGGATCACCTGATCTGCTTGTCTGCAATGGAGAATCTTTTCTTCTGCTCATATAGCATTTACTGAATTATGAGCATCAAGACATCGGTATACTCCACTATTATTGCTACTTAGAACATCACCAAAAGCCTGAGGCACCTCCTTCAAATCAAGATGTAGAGCCAAACTTAGCCTAAAGCATGACTCAATGTTAAAGCATCTGCTCCTCCAGTGGCACCAACTCCTAACTTATTGCATCTGACAGCTATTGTGTCATTTGACCAAGGTTTCTGTTCCTGTATCTTCTAGTAGGAGTTTGATTTATTGTACTGAGTAGCTTTACTACTTACATGCAAAATCCGACCTGCATCACCAAGAGAATTACAAGAATCATTACTGTCAATAGTAAAACGAAACAAGTATCAGCGCTTCAAACTGTAAAAGAAGGGGCACTATCAACCATTTTACCTGTAGTTTTGTGGCCACCTCCGTTAGTGTCGCGATCAAGTTGTTTTACAGCGTTGTCGCTTAAGTTGAAATGTTTAATGTTAAACCGCTAGGAATGACGGTAGGGGTGCTTCAGTCCATAGTAATGAGATTGGCGCATCTTCTCAGGTACTCTAAGAGGTGTTTCGGACTTGATGGAGTGATTCCGAATTAAGTTGGGGACCCGATCCAGGCATCAAAAAGCGCGCCGTTCGTCTTTAAGGCGTGCAGGTACTGTTCGCTGGTTCCCCGTGCTGCCCCTGAAAGTCTCCCTGAGCCTTCAGAGGAAGAAAGGAGAGCAAGAGCGAAGGGGGGGCGAGATCCTGGTCGTGCTCGGTACAGCAAGCCGCTAGCTGTCGCTAACTCGAGTGTGTTTTGTTCTCCGCTCATACTGCCCTACGGCATACTTTGACGGATGCTCGGTACAGCAGCACGGAGCTTTGCGCACAGCCGAGGAGGGTCTTGAGGGGCGCAGCTTCAAGGAGGAGGAGATCCGAGCTCGCCATCGCAGAGCCATCGCGGAGTCTAGAGAGTCGCCTCCTTCAGGAGAGCCAGGCGAGGATGAAGTCCGAGCTCCTTGCCGAGGAGGAGGCCCAAAGAGTGCTTTGCAAAAGCAAAAGCAAAGAGGAAGAGAAGAGAGAAAGGCGCGCAAAGCCCCCTCCCTCCTTCCTCTGAGCCGGCTCCGAGGCACAGGGAGCAGTGCTGGCCAGGGCTGCACATCGCCGGGAGGACCTGGACCAGGCAAGAGCCGGGCCGTGGGAGTCTACAGAGAGAACCCGCTTTCCCACTCCCTCTCCAAAACCTGAGCCATGCTTCACAAAAAAGACGGACACGGACACGGACACACTTCGTCACTACGTCTTGCTACGTCTTGGATCCTCGGCCACAATGCCCATCTCTCTCTCACTCTCCCTTTCGCCCTCCCGTATCTTCAAAGGAGATTCGCTCGGCTTGCCATTGCCATCGTCCATCGTACAGCTCCGCTTCAACGAAGAATCAGAATGCCGCAGTCGTGAAAAAATTTCGAAAGTCGGTAGTCCGTGGTGGCAAATCTTCGTCTTTGCCCTTCGTCAGGTGCGTGCCCGGGTGGCGACGCTACAGGAGCAACTCGCCGACCGCCAGGCCATGGCCTTTTTTTTTTTGGGGGGGGGGGCCTTCCGCGAAGAACTGCTGCTCAGCCCTTATCGCGCCCTCTGTCAGAGGCTCTCCTGCAGTGCTCCACTGCCGAGTGCCAGAGGCCCCGGCGACCGCCGCGGCGTATGGTCAGTCTCTGTGTGTCTGTCTTCTCTCTTTCACCGCTACTTTTAAAAGAAAAGAGGAAAGAGGAAAGAGAAGAGAAAAGAAGAGGGGGTGGGGAGGGAGAGGGCATCGCAGGAGTGCCCCCATCCCCCCAGCCCGCAGGGATCCGCAGGGGTGTTTCTTTTTCAGAGTCGTCAGCAGATGCAAAGCAGCGAAGCCTTCGTTGACGGCAGGATGGGCGCAGCTAACAGAACCCATGGCAACGGGCGTGTTGAAGGGAAGAGTGGTAGACTGGTCCAGCTGGAGCAGTAAATGGTTGAAAGCCGCTCACTGACCTGAGCAAAGAAGTCCAGAGCACACGCTTTCCCGCAGGTTTGCGGAACGCTGTGTGGCCGTCGACATGGAGATGGAACGACGCAGGCGCGAGCGGCAGGGGGTTGCGATGGCAAAGGTGGAAGAAGAAAGAGAGGTGGAGGTGGCTGCGTGTGAGTGGGCGAAATGCCTGCAGGTTCAAACGGTTCAAGCCCACCAATCAAACACGAACACGTGTCCGCAGGGTCGGCGGATGCAAGCATTTCCGGTGCGTTTTTTCGTGGTGTAGGGATGGCATTGAGCTCCAGATTTGTTGAAACCCAAACTGCCCCTCGAGCAGCCCTTGGAAAATGCATTTGGGCTTGGTCGCTTCGAGCTCGGTTTGGGGTTCGGAGACTGTGGCCAGGAACAAATCCCAAATCTGAAACAGCTCCAAATGCATCTTCCAAGCCTTGAGGAAAATGCATGTTGGACTACCAAACTAAAGCATCTTCAATACGATTTCGGGCCAAACGTGTTTAGCAGGCCTTGTGGAGCTTGCGTGCACATCGGAGGTTCGAGACTCGCCGTCACGTGCGCGTGCGCGCGATCTGCCAGGCTCACGAAACGGACACAGAAGCTCCCGATAAGTTTTCCTGTCGCGAGGTCTCGAACATGCAAGGACGCTCTGCTGTTTGTTTTCGTGCTAAGGCATATATACCGCACTTCTCAAAAGATGCAGAGGTGCTGAACGTTATGAGGTAGATCATGAAGATTGGGATTGTCAGGGTAACCTGCTGAGGCCATAGCTCTTTTCTTTCGTTGAAGAAAAGTAGTGTTCAAGTTTATCGGACGATCCCCCGAGGAGATCCACAGAAGCTCAGAACCATGAACTTTCAAAGCGCGGACGAAGTCAACGCTGTGCTGTTTCACACTGCAGTGAAAGAAGCAACTGAAGTTAGCACTAGTGCTGGTACATGTGCTGATGCTTTTGTGTGCATGTCACCCTTCTGCGCTTTCGGTACACTTCTCGAGTTGTGCGTTCGCGCTTGAAGTAGATGACAAGTCGTGTCGTCCATGCGCAGGGGCCTGCCTGCTAGAGTCGTAGTGCATGACAAGAGCTCTAAACTACAGTTCAACTGCGAAAGCATAGAAGGAGAAGGGGCTCGGGCTTTCTGTACTTCAACAAGAAGACATCTGTCTGGCCCTGGACGATACCGGTTTTTCCAGTGCTTCTTGCCAGGAATCATGGGAGCTCGGTGATTTCCGGTCGAGAGATGAAAACGCATTCACGATGTGAAGAACAGCTTTTTGCTCAGGGATATAGAGCAGCCGTATCTCTTCTTCGTTCCCTCCAAAGAAAGCCGCTGCTGCAGACAAGGAAGCTGGAAACTGTAATTACAGCTTACCTGGTTCAGGCAGTTCTTTTCTGTTCGTTACGCGGAAAGCGGGGAGAACTCCGGGAGTAGAGCACGCCGCAGGTCCTGGATGCAGGCTGCCAAAGAAGAGCTCGCAACGCTGCAGGAAACAGAGAGGGGTGCAGAACACGCGGGGGCCTTTCGCAAGAGCATGGGGAAAATTTTCTTATGGAAGCACCTATACGGCTGGTTCTGAAAGGTGCAGTCCGAGACCCTGCAGTTGCATGCGCAGCTGAGAGTTGCAGAGGCGAGGAGCACCACTGGCCTCACCAATAGTCAGCAGCCAGAATTGCCCCGTCTTCTGAGAGGACAAAGCCAAGCATGTTGAGGCGCTGGCATCCACGAAGAAGGCAAAAAACGGCCCGAGCAGTTTCGGTTTTGTCACTCGTCTCGCAGCAAAAAAGACACCCGCTAGGCAGAGCTTGGCGACACCGACGACAAGTTCAGCAAGCAGACAGAGCGAATGCAGCAGGTCGGATGGGACGGGGCGATAATCTCGGAATGGCTGTGATCCTTCTAGAAGTTTCATCCCTCGACGCCTGTCTGCGCAAAAAGACTCTGCCCATGTGCAATTGCTCATGACTGTGCTCGACCGTGACTCGTGCAGTTGGCTGGAGCGGGGCGGTAGAGGAGGCGGCAGGTCTTACAGCTTGGCCTTCTCCGGCACGAGTGACAGAGACGGCCTGACTGTCAGGGTCATCTCACACAGAAACCGTGACTTTCGACGCCGCCCCTTCCTCTACTGTTGGCCTCGCGCTGCCTCGGACGCCTCGAAGCTCCACGTGCCCCAAAAGGCGATTGACGGGAACTCCACTTGTCCCCCTTCGATCTGGGGCGGCACCGACTCCCTGCAGCCACCGGAGAGCACTCCGGGAAAGTCTCGCAAGGAACCCCCAACAAGCACGTTCGAGTACATACCCCCCCCTTTTCCTCGCGGGGCCTCGCAGGTGGAGCAGTCGCGAGATCGCGTGCGAGCAGAAGCAGCCGCCGGCCCAGAGAGCGCTGCCCTTCGATCCACACCGTGGGCGCCTGCTCTGAAGGCCACGGCCGACGAAGAGGAGGCGCCGAGCCGAGCCGAGCCGAGCCGGCGAGCCCCGTGCCGTCGGCGTCGGCGTCGTGCGTGTCCGCCTCTCTGGTGCAGGCGCACGTCTCGAAGCGCCTGGAGCAGCTTCGACACGATCAGGTCCGGGTGCCGAAGCGCGGAAGAGAGTTCGAGCGGTCTCCGTCTGCTGACAGGCAGCTGCCGGGGGAATGTGACTCGGCTGCTGAAGAGAGGATGCGCCTCTTTTTCAACGCGAGAACATCGGCCAAAGCGAAGCAAAAAGATTCTTATCATCAACCTTTGTGATCCTCTCGGAGGCGTCGGAACTTGGAGTCCGAGCTGCAGCTCCTGGGCGCCGAGGCTCTGCCTCACTACACCACCCGCCGTATACCCTGCATACCCTACCCTTTTGGGGTCCCCGCTCAGACGCTTCTCCGCGGATTCGCAGTGAACGTGGGAACACTCTCGTTGCCCTCCTTTGCGGCTCGAGAGAGTCTCCAGCAGGTATGTCCCCCCGTGATCTGTGTAGAACAGTATATACATCCTGGAGTTTGCAAAAGTCATGTAACCACGCAACAAAACAAAAAGGCGGCTTCTCTGAAGTCGTAGAGCTTCCCGGAGGCCGAGAAGCTGCGTGGAGACCGGCACCCAGAAGAGAAACCCAGCTCTCTCGAGCCGCTCAGGGGGGTTGGGGAAAACGGGCGGCCTCCAAAGAGAGTTGCTGAACTCGGTTCCTTCTTTGGGGGTAAAATCGCGGGGGCTCTCAGGAACTGGCCTTTCTCACCAAGGAGAACGCAGATGCGCCGGGGGCCCCCGGGAAACGCCGTTCTGCAGCAGCAGCAGCACTCTGCGGAGCGCATGTTTCCTGTAAGAGAAGAGAGAGAAGTCTTTTGAGTCAGGCAGCAGCGCCTCCACTTGGTTTCGCCTGCCATGCAAGAGGCCGGAGATCCAACAGAGAGAGCATGTCCCTTTTATGAGCGCATGTTAGCTTCTCAAATCTGGTATGTATATAGAGAGAGTGCCTCAGCTGCGCTTCGCTCTAGGCCCGTCGGCGTGTGAAGGACTTGGAATTGCAGATGCAGGCCTTGAGTCGTAGCTCCAAGCGGCAATCAACGGACGTGCAGGATGCATCCGAACATGCGGATGATAGCACGCAGCCATGATATCAGAGGTCTCTGCTTTCTGCGGGCCATGCACGAAGAATCGTGGAACTAGAATGCCCAACAATCTATAAAGGCGAAGCAAGTATAGTGCAAGCGCCACGCGGCGCCACAGCAGAAGAGGAAGTCCGTCCATGTCAGGCCGCGAGAGACGAGGCTTTGCATGAGAAGGCAAGGCGCAGCCTCCTCTTTCCTCATCGCTTTCGTTGCCTCTCTTCGGGCCGTTCCCCGCAAGTTCTTTTTTTTCACTTGCTTCGCTTGCGAATTTTTCTTTAGCTGTGCTTCGACGCTAACTCTGAGGAGCTGACTCAGCGGCTCGAGCGCGAGGCCGACGTGTGTCAGGAGGGGAACGAGGGCCTCAGGCTTTTAGAGTGGGTACTGTATAGGGTTTTTGACCGGACTGGGGGGGGGGGGGTTGGGGCTTCTCTCTTCTCTGAGGAGAAGCTGCGTGCGCTCCGAGACGAGAACGTCCGCTTGTCCGAGCATTGCACAGAGCTCGAGGTGCTCGTTTCGAAGCCTAGGGGCTTCACGGGTCGAAACCCCACTGCGTGTGTTGCTAGTTTCCCATCCGAAGCCGGCTGGAAGAAGAATCAGCTGCAAGTTGAAAAACCGAAGAGCTCCTCGAAGCTGTGAAGAATGAGACGCTACTCACTACACATTGCCTTAAGCATCCAATGGAGCCACCGGGGCGGGTGGGCGCCGTCCTGTGCAGGTGCGCCTGGCGGAGACAGTGAGGCAAAGGGCCCTCGCGCTCGTGGTTCAGTGCAATGCCTTTTGTGTCCTTTGTGTGCAAGGAGTCCAGGACGGCCCTTCCGCGAGGAGAAAGCAGGGGGCTTCCAGGGGCTGCGCTTGAGGAGACGGGGACGCTGAAAGCGGTTTGAGTTGGCGAGGCTTCACCCGGCCTCCGGGCAAGCAGCATGCGAGCTTGCAGGTGGGGACATAAAAAAATGCCTAAAAGCGAGAGAGCGAGCGGGAGAGAGAGAGAGAGAGACCCACAGCCGGGACACGGACGCAGGCCCGGAATCCGGATTGGAACGGCCCCCAGACCTCCAGGCGGGAGACGAGCAAAGAGACGCGGTCGACTTTCGCGCGCGCGCAGGTACCCGGAGCCGCTCCGAGAAAGCAGACGAAGGCCTCTGTTGACACAGACGTCGCATGTTGCACCCCGCACCTCTCCCAGGCGCGCAGGACACGCCGGCCGCCTCCAAGCTGCAGTGCGACGCTCAGCCGGAAACGACAGCGCTGAATCGCGGCAGCGATGTTGCTGCCCTTTTCCTTGGCCATGGACCGCGCAACGTGCGTTCAAAACTGGCTTTGCCCCAAAGTGTCAAGACCCCGTCACAGACACACACAAGGGCTCCTCTCTCTCGACACGGCATAGCAGCCGTGGCATTGCAGAATGGTGCTGGGGCAGTGCACAGCAGCCGAACGTTGCGGTCCATGGCACCTGTGCGGCCTTCCGTTCGCCAATCAGCAAGAGTCGCCACCACTGCAACGACTAGTACCTCCTTCTACTAATATCGTGCTGTTGCTGACGCTGCTGCCACTGAAACTCTTACAGTACATAGCTACAACTACTTGCCAGTGTCACTGTTGCAGTGTTTGCAGCAGATGGTGCAGAGAAGAGTGCAACGCCTGAAGCATCTGCACAGAGAGCTTGATTGGAAGTGCGAAAGACGGAACTCCGTGGGCCGCAGGCAGATCACGGAGTGGATTCGGAATGAGGAAGAACGACTTTCCAGCAGCCGGGCGCTCTGAGCCTCGGTCTGGGCGCCCTCTGCAGTCGCAGACCGAGGTGCTCTGAGCCAAGGGCTCTGCGTGAGCCCGAACCCGGCTTCAGCCGCCACGCTTGCGGGGCTTGCGCCTTGTTTCACACTCTCGGATAATGACCCCCCTGACTGAGGAGCGCCCTGAGGCGAACAAAGTTGAGTTCCTGGTGAAACCCTGGAAGGTTGATCTTTGCGCGTAGAACTATACCACCTATACGTAAGAGCGCCCATCGTCCCGTCCTCCTGGGCCGATCTTCCATGATGTTGTATTGAATTCTCGATGCTCCGCAGCCACCGAACCGGTTCCACCAATGTATGACGGGGATGACGGGGATCTTTGGGATTTCGGGTCTGATGGCATCGCCCGAATCTGTTTTACTGTTTGGATTGCTCCAGTGCAGCAGGAGCCTTTACGATACGGGCAATAGTGCAGGGTGTCAGACATGCAGAACACAAAAGACGAGCCATGGGATGATCCTTGGGAAGGCTGTGGGAGGAATGGCTCACCAAAGAAGAAGAATGGGAAGAGTCTCGGCTGCTCGGAAAGCCCTAACATGCAGAGGGAGATCCCGAAGGGGGGAAGGACCTGGGAGCTGAAGAGCTCACACCACCCAGTCAGCCAGCTATGCTCGAGGCATTCTGACCGTTTTGATGTCTTCAGTTTTCACGGGCTGGCACCAAATGAAAATTTGACTGATCGCCCCAATTTGGATCACATTCATACGGGTGTCACATGGTCTTGGGGGAGGGGTACGAAATGCCCAACCACACAATCAGCAGACAACAGCACCTGACATCTCTCCTTTCGTCTCTCTCCTCTCCGTCCTCGCCTCTCCTCTCTCACCTGTCTTTCCCCTCTCCTCTCTTCTCTCTCTCCTCTCCACCTTTTTCTCTCCTCTCTCGCTCTTCTCCTCTCTCCCCTCTCTCTTCCTTCCTCTCCTTTCCTCTCCTTTCCGCTCTCTTCTCTCCTCTCTTCTCTCCTTTCTCTTCTCCTTTCTCCTCTCCTGGCTCCGCTAATTCCCTACTTGCAGAAGCTTGCGGAAGCTCACGAATGTTCCGCGCGAATTTCATATTAAGAACTATAAGCAAATATACTTTCTACTTGTATGAATAGTCAATACTGGTAACGGTATCAGTAGTATTAAAAGTAGAAATAATAATATTCATTATATCTCTTTATCTCTCTCTCGAGATTCTTTTTCATTTATACGTTTCTTATTGGAAATCTTCTTCTTCTGGTTTGATATGAAATTGTTTGAATTATTTTTTCTGTTCTTTCGCTTATTGGGAATTTCTTTATTTTTACTTTATTTATTGGTTTTTCTTTTTATAAAATTTTATATAGTCTTTTGAATTAGTTTTTCTTTTTTATTATAAATTTAGTAATTGATATCTTGATTTTTGGTATTTATTTGATTTATATTATTTATATATATTTCTTCTATTGGAGTTTTTTGTTATATTTGTTATCGCTCGATAATATTTTCTTTTTTCGATTTATTATATTATGTTGTTTTTAAATATTGAAATATTATTATATTCTTGAAATAAAAGTAGATTTGATAATAAAATCGATAAATCTATAAGAACTATTTGCCAATATATATATCTATAAAAATTCAAAAGAGATTTAAAACAGAATAAGATAAAAGAAAAAATTAATATGAAAGCCTCAAAATAGAGTATTATTAGGATAAATTTACCTTGGCAATTTTAACAAGATAGAATTAATGGCATATTTATATTTAATAAGATAGCCTTAAGATTTGGCAAGATCGATCTAGAAAAATAATCTTGGTAAGATAAATCGTTGGCAAGAAGATAGTTCCGATAAGAAAAAAAAATATATATTTGTTTGAAAAGAAAAATATATGGATAAGGGAAGTAGGCTTAAGAACGAGGGACTAATGCAATTTGTTGGCTTCTCTTTTTGAAGTAAGCCTACTAGTATAAAATTATAAACAAGGATGCCGAAAAGATTTTATGAGATAGATTTAATAGGGTAGATCTCGGATTTTTCTAGATTTATTTTAGTGGATCAAATATTGGATCTTCTATATGGACTAGATTTATTCTATCGGATTTCTAGATTATATATATATATATCTTGATTTTAATATATATATTTTTTTTTGATTGTTGTGAATGATTTATATTTTAGATATTTTTATATGACATTATATATAATGCAAAAAATTAGCATGATTTCGAATTTATATAATTAATACTAGAAATATCTGGAATTTTGAAAATATTATATTAGATGATAGATATTTTAAGATATTAATATTTCTTTTTTTGACCGACTTAAGGGCGAGAGAATTGGTAAATCGGAATATAAAAAAAATTCTAGCTAATAAAAAGAAAAATATATTACTTTAGATTCGCTTTAGTTTGAAGATAAAATTTTTTTTTCAAATTATATTTGGAATGAATATATGAATAATTACGAAAATTCAATAAAATCGCGTAATTTTCAATTTTTTCAATATTTTCTAACTTTTAAATATATATTTTTAATTTGATTATATCGATATTCTTAATTTCTATTGATTTAAAAATTGCAGAAAAATTCATTGAATTTCATATTT